TGTGGAGCAGAAATAAGACAGTCAATATTTCCCTTTGCTTCTCCAACTATATCAAATGCAGGTTGAGAGCACTCACTGAATAATTTGAAGTGACCAACAGTAGATCCGGGTGACAGAGGATGGATACCAATCAATACAGCCATAAAAGAGTAATGCTGTGAAGACAAGAGATTTAAATACTTTGGTTTGTATTTAGTGATCTGGTTTGTATTTAATAATCTCTTGTAGGAAAATGGTGAGCTGGCAGTGTTTGCAAATTAAGACATGCACAAGCTTTAATTTTCCCTATCTGAAGTAAAGGACACAATAATAAGTAGCGCAGACAGTGGGTTTTTGTTAGTTTGTGTGGTCTTTGCAGCCCAGAGATGTTTCTGCAGGAAATGTTCACAGTAATTCACTGCAAATAACTCTGGCCCTTTCTGCTTTTACAGTAGCTTCATAAATCACTTCCCTTGCAGCACTTTTGCATTACATAACCTCTCACATTGTGACAGAGTGGGTTACTTGAAAATTAGCCAATATGTTTCACATGCTGCATAAAAAACAATGGAGCAATATTTTCTTAAATTTTTCCAAAAAGATTGCTATTAAACACTGACCTCAGGAGCCAACTCCTGCAAGCCCTTCTAGCAGAGTGATGCACTTGATTTCAATTATATCATTAGCCTAAATAAGGTGTGGTAGGCTCAAGCCCCAAATCCTTCTGCTTTAGTCTGTAAACATATAAAACTACCATTGGTGTCAATGAATAAAGAGTTCAGAATCCATGGTATCTGTATGTAGGGCCAAAATCTTCTCCCATTTACACTAGTGTGAATCCAGACAAATTCCAGTGAAGTTCGTGCAGTCACTATGAATTCACAGGTGTGTAACTGAGAACAGACTATGGCTTGGAGTCTCCAGGAATTAAGGATTAATCTTTAATTATCGATTGTCGTGTGATGAAACCTGCAGGAATACATCCAACAAAAATTTGCAAGCCTATAGCGTAGCTCTACGGCACAGGTGCCAACACTGGGGGTGGGGCACCCATTATTAGCCAAGCTCCCCCTTTGTACATCCTTCCCCCCCATCTCTCACCTGC